TTGTAGTCTTTTTAATTTTCACTGCCTCTGCTGTTTTTCTGTATTCTAAATGGTGACTTTGATTAATATTTCCATAATACAGAAATTTCTGATCATTCTGTATTTCACTGATACAGAAATTTCTTACCATCCTACAGAGCACCCGTTAATATTCCCAGAATCCACAGACAGGACTACTGCAATACAAACAGTAAGTGAAACTTTGAAAAAATCTTACATTCTGATCAATTTTCCTATTTACATCAAAAGGCAGTGTACTCCATTTTTCATATGTGGTTGATCAGGTCCTACAGGCACAGTCACTTAACTGCCATCTAGTTATATATACATTTACCAAGGTTCAGGACTTCCATCATTCTTATTAAATTATAAGCTTAAAGGTGCCACATCCATTGTTTCTGCAATAGAAGGTACCCCACTATAAAATGTTGTGATGACAATGCTTACTTGAAGTATTTTCAGTTGAAAAGAGATTAGAAAAGTTTGAATTATGGAGGTAGATTATCCAGTGTGCTTTATATCACAACAAAAGCTAGGATCAACTCAGAGCTGAAAAAACCTCCCTCTTTAAAATATTCAGGTCTATTGAAGAAATGTTATATTTCAAAAATCTGTTGTTCGCACTAAAAGTATTTTGGAAAAGAAGTAAAATGCATGAGTTTATTTAGAAGTCTTATTCTATCCTGATAAATAGCAGAAGTAGATTAATATTGAGTATTTCCATTGATAATTACTGAATTTCACAATATTTATATAGTATTAGGACATGGCAAGCCACCATACTTTCAGAACAGTCTGTGCTCAGAAAACTAATTTGCTGCTCTGTGTGTCCATTCACAAATCATCCTACAACTTTAGAAGACAGAGGAGCTGTGCTGCCTGGCAAACCCAACTTTTCCTGCAGGGACATGGAACTGTCACCCAGCAGAGCCCACATGGGGAGGAACTGTCCCTGAAAGGCAAGGCGTGAGAAAAGAGGCAAGGGACAGGGGTGGATGCAGAGGCAAAGAGCACAAAATAACCTTATCTAAAGTAGCTGCCAGTGGCTGCAGGGTCTGCTACAACTATAGCAAGAAATCTCCCTCTTCAGGAGCTGAGATCAGCTGCACACCCACTCTCACCTCGACCTGGGACTCCAAGGGGGTGCGTGAGTGCAGGCACAACTACTGCAAGTGAAAAGACAGCTTAACACTTAAACAGAAACACCAAATCCAAGAACCTCTAGGACCTTAGCACCTAGACAGATATTTTTTTAAAAGTTAAGTTTCAGATTTAGGTGCATAACATGGCAGTGAAGTGGCACACCAGAGTGATGTCCTTTTCCAATTTAACACTGGCAATCCTGTTGGCTGTAAAGAGTCACACGGTGACATTATGCTGAATCCTTGGAGGTTAGTTCTGATGAGCAAGCATCACCAATAGTAGTAATATGACATCACAAAGTTAATTTGGAATTCTTCAAGTGCTGTGCTTTAAAAATATGCTTCTCAAAAGATTTTCAAACACTTTTTTTAAGTGTTGTACGACAGCATTTTACCTGCTGCTCTTACTCCTCTAGATTTAAATAGCCTAAACAGTAAAAAGTGTGCTTGGAATAGTTGAAAGTCAGTTGGATCAAGTCAGTTCTCAAGTGAATCAATGTATCCTGATTTATACTACAGTTGATCTGATTAGTCTCATAAGAGAGGCAGCAGCTCTAATAAAAACCTCATTGGAAATAAATAGTGTACCTACTTATTGCTATCTTTAATATTTTGTGAAAACAAGAAAGACTTGAAGGTAAGCATCTTTAATGAGCCTATTGATTTCCTTTTTTAAAAATATTAATGAACTAGCTAAAATAAGTGATTTTTTTAAAAAAAAAATCAGATTTAAACAACATGCATGATGTTTTCTACATGATCCCAAGTGTTTATATATTAAAAAACAAATTAAAACTGATTAGTTGATAATGACTGCAGATGCTGACCTTTGGAAAGATTTATTAGTCCTGCAAACTGTGAACTGGGCTACCTGCTCATTCTGACCTTGATACAAGAACAGAAACAGCAAATGGTAGATTTAACCCTTGCTGATTCAAAAATAAATTCCTGAGAAAAGAAACATCAGTTGTGGTTAAACAGCAGAACTTTAGATTGTGAATATTAATGCAAGTCCTTCTCGTTTTTTGTTTGTTTTGTTTTTTTTAAATGCAGCTATTAATGGGAAATTAATTAACATACTCTATCTCCCTGGTTGTTTACAAACAAATATCTTTTTAGGCCATGCAAAAGGCTTAGTGGAACATTTCATTATATAATCTGTACAGTCACTTTTCATTCACCGGTAAAGCAGATTGAATTTGTATAATACAAAGATTTTTATTGCCTCCATTTGGTCTCATTCAATGTCCACTGCAGACAGCACAAATATTCTCCTTAACTTCAGTTTGTTCAAGTACAGGCAGATATGGAGAAAACTCTAACTTAAAAGCAGACATTTATCAAGGTAAAATGTCAATAACTCTTGTAAATATCTGAGAAAATTATTTGATTACAATTTGGGTTTCAATAAGGATGATAACTTATTTAGGTTACTTTTTTATTTCTTTATTGTGACTTCTTTTCAGGAGCCTGTTAATGACTCTTTTAAGCTCACAATTCATGTCTATTTACTTTAATACAGCCTATTGCAATACTGATAGATCCTGCCTTCAGCAGCTGCTTTATAGCTTACTAAATTAACAGCTAAACATCAGTTCTTAGTCCTGTGCTTTTAAGCATAAAGAAGCTAAGTCTGGACTGCCTGGTAAACAGATTGTGATCAGGGACAACTAGTTACATGAGTTAATATATTAAAAAAAGGGGTGAAGGAATAGGGAAAGGGGTAGATGCGAAGGGGATTTTGGGTTGGGGTTTTGTGGGCCTTCTTTTCTTTTCTTTTCTTTTCTTTTCTTTTCTTTTCTTTTCTTTTCTTTTCTTTTCTTTTCTTTTCTTTTCTTTTCTTTTCTTTTCTTTTCTT